ACGTCTTACTCTAAACGAATCCAAGACCGTCCTTATTCCATCCCTCATGCTGCTGAAATTTGAGAAGGATGATGGGTCAGTTGGCTCCTTGAACGGGGACTAGAAAACGGCTAGAGAGTGCTACCTCTCAGACGTCAAGCTCACAGTGGCCGCAACCGGCCGGGATGAAGAGCCAATAGACCTTGACAATGTCAAGGAAGCCAAGCCTGCTCTAACAACAGCCAGCAAGAAGAGAAAGGTCGACCAGTTGGTGGCCGTGAAAAAAGAGAAGCAATAGCAATCACTGACCGGGGAACGGTCAGATGAACTCCGTCCCCAGCCAGCTAGTGAACATGTTGATATTGCTCTAGACGACACACGTTCGGAGCGTATTATTAAGGTTGGGGCAGCTGCTCTTGCAAAGCTGGGTGTAGACTTGCACAATTTATTGAAAAAATTCAAGGGCATTTTTGCCTTTGAAGTGGAAGAGATGCCAGACATCAGCCCGGATCTCGCTGTCCACAAGCTCGACGTGGATCCAAAAAAGAAGTCTGCTAGACAAAAGAAAAGAAACCACGGCGAGGAGAGAAGTCAGACGGTAGCCGCCGAAGTGAAAAAGTTGTTAGACGCCGGGTGCATTCGGCAATGTCACTTCCCGGGTTGGGTTGCGAATATTGTGCTTGTAAAGAAGCCGAATGGTACCTGGTGCATGTGTTTTGATTACACTGATCTAAACAAGGCATGTCCGAAGGACAATTACCCGCTCTCAAAGATCAACAGTTTGGTCGATTCAACAGCCGGACATGCTTTGATGAGTTTTATGGACGCCTATTCTGGCTTTCATTAGATACCCCTGTGGAAGAAAGATCAAGAAAAGACGGTTTTCGTCACTGATTAGGGGTTATTCTGCTATACTATGATGTCGTTTGGCTTGAAAAATGCGCCTGCTACTTTCCAACGAATAATTAATACAGTCTTCATTAATCAAATTGGGAGGAATTTAGAGGCGTACATTGATGACATGATAGTCAAATCCAAGCTACAGATGGATCATCTTGCTGATCTCCGAGAAACCTTCACCACACTTAGACGGCACAAGGTCATGCTCAATCCTAAGAAGTGTGTCTTTGGTGTTGAGTTTGGGAAGTTTCTAGGATTTTTGATTGATCAAAGGGGAATAGAGGCCAACCCAGAGAAGATACAGGCGGTCATTGATATGAAGTCACCCCGCATTATCAAAGAAGTTCAGAAGTTAACAGGTTGCCTGGCGGCATTGGGAAGACTATGTTTGAATGGGGGGATGATGCTGAGGTGGCCTTTCAAAAATTGAAGGAACATTTACACTCTTTGCCGAGGCTTGTTAGCCCTCTGCCAAAGGAGACGCTTTACATGTACTTAGCCATCTTAGACCATGTTCTTAGTGCCGTTCTCCTTGCTGAAAAAGATGACATCCAGCACCCGGTCTATTTCATTAGCCATGTTCTTCGAAATGCTAAACTACAGTACCCAATGGTTGAAAATTTTGGCCTAGCTCTTTTCATGGAAGTCAAGAAGTTGAAGCCTTACTTCTTAGCACATCCAGTTGTGGTCTACACAAACCAACCCCTCAAGCGGCCAATGACAACCTTGGAGTCATCCGGTAGGATGCTCAAATGGGCTATTGAAATGCAAAGTCTTGAAATCTCTTTCGAACCAAGGAAGGCAGTGAAGGGTCAGGTGTTTATTGACTTCATTGTCAAAATGACAAGGCCGGTTGAGCCAGAGAATCTTGACCGGGTTTGGAAAGTGTATGTAGACGGGAGCTCTACTATGAACAACTATGGTGCAGGGATAGTATGTCAGTCCCCTGAAGGGGACAAGTATGAATATGCACTACGGTTCAAGTTTCAAGCCTCAAATAACGAGGCGGAATATGAAGCCCTGCTAGCCGGTATCCGCATGTACAAGGCGGCAGGGGCAAGAAAAATTGACGTCTGCTCTGATTCACAATTGGTCGTTAGCCAGTACCATGGTGACTATGAGGCCACCCATCCGGCCATGATCATATATTTGCAGGCGGTCAAAGAAGAAGCTGGGACACTTGATGAATTTCATATACGTCAGGTGCCCAAGTCAGAGAACAATCGGGCGGATGCTCTTTCTAAGCTGGCATCATCCGCCTCCTGTGATACACCTCGGTCTGCCTTTTGGGAAGTAATGGAAAAGCGAAGTATTGAAGATCCCATTGGAATACTAGACCGGAGTTCAACCTGGATGGATGGCATCCGGGCCTATCTGCTAGATGGCACTTTGCCGGATACATATCCAGAAATGGCTGCAATGAAAAAACGTGCGGCCAAAATTGAGATTCATAATGGAAAGCTTTTCAAGAAGGATTTTCTGCAACCTCTTTTGAAATGCGTCACCCCAGAAAGGGGGCAAGAGATTTTGGAGGATCTGCACTCGGGCTTTTGTGCCTCACACATAGGCGGTAGGTCTCTAGCAAAAAGGGTCAGGCGGTAAGACTACTTCTGACCCACTCTTGAAGCAGACGTCATGGAAATGGTGAAGAAGTGTGATAAGTGTCAAAGATTCGGCAAACTCATACACCGTACGGCCACTGATCTGACGGCCATTCACATCCCAGTACCATTCGCCAAATGGGGCATGGACATTCTGGGTCCGTATACGCCTGCGCCAGGCAGACGACGGTATATTCTAGTCGTCGTTGAATACTTCACCAAGTGGGTTCAGGCATATGCGGTCAAAGGCATTAAGACAAAGGATGTCATCTCCTTCATTTAGAAGAATCATCACCCGGTTTGGGGTACCTATGTCTATGGTCTTTGACAATGGCCCTCAGTTTGAGACGCCTACCTTCAAAAATTGGCTGGGAGACTAAGGGATTTCTCACTGTTTTGCGTCAGTCAGCTGTCCCCAAGCAAACGGCCAGGTTGAAGCCTCCAACAAGCTAATCTCAGACGGCATTAAAAAGAAAATTGAAAGAGCTGGCGGTTTATGGGCGGATGAGTTACCTCATGTCCTTTGGGCCATCAGAACAACAACAAAAGGGGCAACCGGTGAAACCCCATTTCTCATGGCATACGGCGTAGAAGTCGTCTTGCCCATTGAACACTATGAGCCGACTCTTCGAGTCATGCTGTATGACGAAGTGGTAAACTGGGAGGCCATGCGGCTAGCATTGGACTCACTCCTGGAGCGTAGGGGTAATGCCGCCTTGTGTCATGAGATTTACCGTCTTAGAATGACAAGAGCCTACAACAAAAGAGTACACAAGCGACCCTTGAAAGTAGGGGACTTTGTGTTACGAAAAATGGAGGCAACTGGTAGGGCCAATGAGCAAGGAAAGTCGACTCCCAATTGTGAAGGCCCCTACCGGATTTATGAAGAAGTGGGAGGCAGCACCTACCGCCTGGAAACTCCAGACGGCAAGCAACTAGCCAGAACTTGGAATGTAGATAACTTAAAAAAGTACTACTTTTAAGACTTGTAAATTTTTTGTAAATAAAAAGCCCATAATTGAAAAAGTTGCTTTTTGTTTTCAACTTTGTTTATTTATTCCTTTAACTATATACATCTCCCAATGGGAATAACGTCTGTGCAATGTGCAGATGGCCTTATTAAATAAGATCGTACTTATGCAGTAAACGACGACGATGAAGGAACGTCGGGTTCTACTAGTTCTCAATCAATTCAATTGGCCGATGAACTTGAACAACAAGAAGAAAAAGACGAAGACGAAGAAGAACAAGAAGAATAATTAGATTATTACTGACAATTAATTATAGCTAATTTTTGTATTATTGAACCCCGTATGATAAAATAAGCTATAAAGTTAAGTTATTCATCAATTATTGTACGATTTTTATGATTATAAATTATTGTATTATCGATATCGTACCGACGTATAATAAAGTTAAATAAGTTATTCATCAATTTTGTGTTATCAGCCTTATCGCACTCGTAAATTTTTTAATTATATGCATTGTTTCTTTTTGCTAAATAATAATAAATATGTATAATAATAATAAAAAAAAAATTAATTATAATAAATTAATAATAAAAATAACATAAATAATAAAGAGTGAAAGGACTATAATAATAAAAAAGAACAATAATAATTTAATAATACATAAACATAAACATAAATTAATAAAATTATTTAAATATACTCATTTTAAAAGTTGTTCAAAAAAAATATATATATCAGTTAAAAAAAAAAAATATTAATCCGGGGGTCCGCTGCCCGACACGGCACGGCACGCCAGGCACGTGGGCCGTGCCGCGTCGTGGGTTGGGATGTGCCAAATGGTGGCTCGACACGGCACAACCCGCGAAGTTGCAGGCACGGTACGACCGACACAAGCCACCACCAGGCACGGCCCGCGGTGGTCGGCACGACACAATACCCACCTTTAACTATATACTACTCCATTAAGAGTTTAAGATCATGATATGTAATCTTAATTTCGGTGTGTGTTCTAGGATTCTAGGACTATATACTACTACATTAAAAATTTAAGATCATGATATGTAATCTTAATTTGTATTAAGACCGTTTTTATAGGTGGATATATGTGGACTTTCAATTAAAACTTCTAGGGGCCACATTCAACCAAATTTGAGAATTAAATCGAACCACTATTTGAGCGAATGAAACCAAACCAAAAAAACCTATTGTATAAACTTCTTTTACTTCGTAATGTAATAATATATCTTTTTCAATAAACTCTTATTACATCATAATTTAATTAATATATTAATGTATCTTATATGTGTCACTTAAACAAAATGGATAGAGACATAGAGTATAAGTAGAGGGGTCAAAAATAACCCAACTCGATCTGATCAAAAACTAAGCCGTCCAAATATTAACTTATCACGCATAATGATTTAATCGTAGCATGACTCAAATTTAAACTAGACCCAATTAAAATAAACCTGACCCAATTGCGGAATGGGGCAAATAATAAAGTTGGAATAAACCATCATATACATTACACGTTCACCATGTTAAAAGAGGCCACATCCTCAAAATCAAATGTCGCAGTTTTCCTTCATTTTGGCTCTCCTCCCTCCTTGCTCTTCTTTCCTTATTAATGGAGTCACAGGTTCTGATGAATCCTCAACAATCAATTACGAGTTGAACGAAGAAGGAGAGAGAAAATGATCAGACGAATTTCACAAATTTCCAACATCTTCTCACATGCATCCGTTCGTCATCATCCTCAATTTCGTCACAAATTCATCAGATTCTACTCTAAGCGTCCAGGTAATTCTATTCAATTCAATTCAATTTTCCTATCTTTTTAATTTGCGCATAATTGTAGAATGAGAATTGTTGATTTCTCGAGTTTCATTGTTATAAAACCTAGTTTTCTTCGTCCTTATTGTAATGTGATCATAATTTTACCACATATTTTTGTAATAGTAATGTGTTACTTGTGATTGTTCATTTTTACCCGTGCTGAATTTGGACCTAAAAATATTAAATAGACGAGTCTGACACTTAGACACATTTATCGTGTCAGATATGAATTCCCGAGTCCAAGTAACATAGTATTGGTAACTGTTGATTAAGTTAGATTTGAGATTTTTTTAGCTGGATGTTATATTCGTCCGCAGTTCTTCATTGTCAATAAAACAGTTATATATGTAGAATTTTTACCATTGTAATTACATTGACCAATTGTTACACTAAAAAAGAGAATATCTTTATTAAGAGGATGAGGGGTTATTAAAATTCTTGCCTAAGTCATGATTGGTATAGTGAAACATTTGGTTTCTTCCATTATGATCCAATCTATTTGGTGTCAAGTTTTACCAGTGATGTATCGGCCTAGTGGCAAAGACCGGGGGCTAATTGGTCACACATTCAAATCTTTATACCCCATTTGTAATTTGTAATACCCTTTGCGGCTCATTTTGACCAAAATAAATGATGTCTAGTTCAGATTGTGTTGATACTGCTGAATTCGAGTCTTGTTTGAAGTGAAATAATTGCTATTGTACATGAGGAGATCAGAATTCTCGAATACGTACTGTTAGAATCTAGATGTTCTAATGGTAATGGACATAACAAAATTACCACAGCTCCAAAGATTGCCTAGGAAGAATATCGTATGTCTTTGGATATAACTTGTAATTTGTTGATCGAATCCTCTCAATTCTATTGGTGTTTTATTATCAATAAGATGTGCTTCTAGGTGATAGAAGATGCTGAGATGGGTCATTGTTTAGACTGTTTTTTTAATTGCATATGTATTAACTTCGTCTATATCTTTCAGTCTTTTGTATGCATCTTTTGTCTGTAGACTAGAAAGTGGGTGAAAAAGTATAAGACTCCTGTTTGTATTGCCTGAATTATCTTTACTGATTGAATTAGTTTTTGGTTGAGATGGTGTGTGAGTATATGATATTTTGATTTGTTTGGAATAATACTAATTAAATGAGCTATCTCATGTAGGACCATTGGTACAATACCAGAATCTGGTTGACCAAGGGAAGTTACAGCATGATCCATATCAAGAAAGAGTCGCTTCAGAGTTGGAAAATCTTATGGGGAGGTTGGAGAAATATGAGAAAGATATGGAGGAATATCATGTATGCCAAATGACTGATATATTACATATTTAGTAGTTTGTGATGGTGACGATAATGTGTCTCTGAAATTTACAACTATTTTGGACTTCTACATGCAGCAAAAGTTAGCCAGCTGGGAGAAGAAAAGAGAGGAAGAGCATCGCCGGATTCTAATGGAGGAGGCACAGCGCAGACAAGAGGGTGGTATGTGGTCAGAAATAAAGAAGAAACGAAATACATTGGTTGACAGTTGGGCGACTCGGTGAGGCATGCTGTTTAATGTCATATTTTTAATATTAGATGTGGTTGAGATGCCTTGAATAAGTATACTCAATGCCCCCACCCCACCCACCAACCCATCCTTTTTTTTTAAGGTGATTCCTTTTTGCTAAACTTGATTTTGTATACCTCTTTGCTGCTTTTTCAAGGTTTATTTCTTTTTTAAAAATTTGAAATTATTCCTTTGCTTGGAGGGTGGGAGGTGGAGGGTTGGTTGGGGAAGGAGGGGGGGGGGTGGAGGTGGATGGAGATATCTTGCTTGTTTCAGAAATATGCATACATAAGCACTGGTCTGGAGAATAACTGCAAATCGTGTCCGTACATCTGATATCTCTATATCTTCTTGAACTTTAGTTCTTTGAAAGAAGATGTCTAAAAAACATATGAAATGCTTACCATATTCCATAACTTGCATCAATAGGTGTAATTTTAAAACTACTAAATTATATGTGTGGATAAGTAGTTGTAGTTTCTATCACGATTTGTGAAAAAATAAAAGGCTCCAATATAAATAGTTTGGGCCTTTGGGGTAATTCAAAGACAAATTAATTTTTCTTTCTGATGTGATCATATCAATGCAACCATTGAGACTTATTGGTGGTTCTTTGATGTTTATTATTTCAGTCATTATTAATTAAGAAGTCTTATGTGAAATACTTTTTTATTTTGTCTTTGTAATTATAATATGTATAGGGGCAATGAGAGGGGTCCTATTGTCATTCATTTGGTGGAATTTATGCTTACAATTAGTGAAACAGTTTTTGACTTTTTTAAATTGCAATTCAATTGGCCTTCTCTTTTGAATTTTTCTTCTCTTTAAGATATTGAGGAAATGTGAAGTGTTATGTTCAAGATATTGAGTACAAATCAATGAGCTTTCACGCTCTTTCCCCAATTACTTCCTCTGCCACTCTTGGTTGGTGCTTCATTGGGGGAATTTTGGGTTCTTGTCTTTTTTATTACGATTTAAAGACTATAAAAACTATAGATTATCATGAAGCTTGTGTCTACCGACATTTTTCAGTTTTTGTTATATTTGTTGAGTCTGTGAGGCTGACAGAAAATTAATTTGAGGGAGAGGGGGGCAGGGGGTTCTTGTGGTTGATAGTGAGGTAGAAGATATCTAGTCTAGTTTCCTCTTTTTCTCCTTCTGGTTGGGAGGGTGCAGGGGAGGGAGGAGAAAGATGGAGTTTGTTTGCTCTGTAGAGTGTGTCATGTAGGTTAGCCTTTTGGTGCACGTAAAGTTACATTTTGTCTACTGTATTTATTTATGAAATGATTGCTTTTCTTATGTTCCTGAATCTTTTCTTATTACAATTATTATGTTTAGTTGTTTGAGAATTTTTTTTTTGGTTCAGGAGAAATTCTCAGGATGTAGAACCAGGAGTGGGAAAGCGGGTTTCGTACCTGAATAGGGAGAAGAAGTTAGATTCTATAATTGGTCAACGTCCAGTTGCTCCTGTGGCCCCAAAAGGATTATATTTGTATGGAAATGTGGGAAGTGGTAAGTTGTGATTCTCTGTCTTAGACATTTTTTTTTTAAAATGTTCAGTGGGTATGAATATGATAGAAGATTATTTAGGGCCCTGATTGAAATAAGATGAGGGATGGGTTCCCCCAAAGTTGCTTGTTGAGTTTTTAGAGAGGATATATCTCAACTCTTTTCTGTCTATCTTGTAGGAAAAACTATGCTGATGGACATGTTTTATAGTGCAACAGAAGGAGTTGTTAAGCATCGAAGAAGGTTTCACTTTCACGAGGTAAAAAACGGAGAAAGATTTTGGAAAAAAAAAAAAGATTATGGGTATAGCACGGCTGATGATTAAGCCGTTTGTTTTTCATGACCATTTACTGGCAGGCTATGCTAGAAATTAATGAACATATGCATAATATATGGAAGAATCAAGTGGAAGAAAAACCCATGCAGTCGAGTATATCTAGCTGGATTATGAATCTTCCCTTTGATACCAAAGTCAAAGAATGGTTGGCTGGGGAAGAACTCTATAAGCAAGAAGTGCAAATGAACCACATTCTTCCTGCTGTGGCAGATAAATTTTTGGTTGGTCAACAAGTTGGTCAAAGAGGTGCTAGCATTCTTTGCTTTGATGAGATACAGGTTAGTTTATCTAGTATGTTCAAAAATATTGTGACTTATGAGACTATAGCTGTGTCTATATGGAGGGGAAATATAGATGTGGTTGCATGACTAATTTTTTCTCATCGAGATGTGAGAATTTTAAAATGTGTTTGCAATATATAGAATTTTTTGACTAGTTAGGGATTGGAGAAGGAAATTTTGTCTATTGTTTCAGGGCTCGTTTGGTTGAATGTAGGAATTGCAAATTTCTTGGAAATTTGATTTCCCATGAAATTGAACTTCCTAGGAAATTCAAAAAAGTGTTTGGTTAACCAAGGAAAGTGGAAATAAAAAATAATTGTTCCTAGGATTCTTATGTGTATTCCTGTTTTCTCTCTTTCTATATCCACTTAGCCTTCTCTTAAAAGACTTCTTCAAATTCTAGTTATATAACCTCATTTTTTGGGTTCCCACTTTACAATGCTCTCATTTACTTGCTCACTATGTTTCTCTCATCTTCTTCCACTTTCATTTTATCACTTTCTCTGTTTTCTTTTCTTTAACTTGTCTCTTTACTTTCTTTTTTTTTTTATTCACTTTTCGTCGATGGTTCTTTATGACAATCATTTTGAGACTACGGCTTTGTTGTTCTTTTTGTTTGTGTTGTAGTATATAAACAATTTGACACAAAGGTCAGTACAAGTTCAATAGTTAGTTCAAAATTTCGAAATAAAGCTCTCAAGAATTAGCTTATATGACTTGATATTTCAATGTAGTCTTCTTGGGAATTCCTAAGGGTATCAATAAGGGTAATATGGATTATGGAAAAGTTCAAAGTTCAAGATCACCCATATTATTATCAGAGAGTCATGCATTTAAACAGCCGTCTTGTATTTCTGATGGCTTGATGCACAATAGAGAAAGGTCAAATTTTGGATGAATCATGCAAAATACCCAATTATCATTTTGTAGTCCTATTTTTTTTGTTTGATTATTATGTTGTTTGTTGTCTAAAAAGTCTATAAATTGGCAATCTGCTTCACTTCTTTGGATTTTAGATACTCTCACATCTAGTAAATGTACTATTCATAAGACGTGTTCCTTGGTAGTAAGGTTGGTTTTGCAACTCAATTTGACTTGTATTTTTTGTTTTCTACACAGGCTGTTGATGTATTTGCTATTGTGACCTTATCTGGAATTGTTAGCAGATTGCTGAGCACTGGAACTGTGCTTGTAGCTACCAGTAATCGAGCTCCCAGAGACTTGAATCAGGTAGGCATTTTAGGCTTCTAATTAAAGGCATTTTCTTTTTGGGTGATTGTGGTCACTTCTGATGGGAGTGATGGCAACGTTTTGTCTTTTTTTTTTTTTTAATAATATTTATTATGCTTAGAAATGATTGTTCTGCATTTTGCTCTGTCCTGTCTTTTCCCGATTCTTAATGTTTGGAAATTGAAAAATAATGTTAGCCATGCAATGAACTAAGGTATATAAATACAGTGAAACATTTTGGACTTCCTTTGTTCTGTTTTATGCACAGTACCTTCATTTGTAACACCCTGGCGAGCTTTGTTCTGTCACCTTGGAATTTTTTTATTTCAACTAAAACGGACTTGAAACTTTGAATCCTTAATAGTACAAAGAGATTTTATTTGTATATTTCTGATTGATATCTTTTATGGTCAATGTATTAAAAACATCCCTCTGTACCCCATTTCTTTCACTTCCCATTCTATGTTTATCCTCTGTTTTTTCTTTTTTTTTTTTTTTTTTGGCAAGTCTATATCGAGCTAATCTTTTTTTTTTTTTTTCCCCTTCTCTTCTTTCTTTCCATTGATGCTTGACACCTTATCTTAAAAGGATAACACACTATTTCTATCCATGCCAAACGCATAATCTTTCTCCTTTTTTTGTGATGATTTTGAGTTATGCGAGCTGTAAATCAACTATTTAAACCCTGAATACCTTTCATCTGCAGGATGGAATGCAGAAGGAGATCTTCCTAAAGCTGGTTGAGAAGTTGGAAGAACATTGCCAGAATGTTCTTATCGGCAGTGAGATAGATTATCGCCGACTTGTTGCTCAGGGATCCAAAAGTCAGGTGAGAGCTGGTTTGTACTTCACAAGTATTACTCATGCAGGAGTTTTTTTTTTTTTTTTTTTTTTTTTTTTTTTTTTTTTTTTACCTATCAACTCTACCTTGCATGCTTGGTTATGGTTTCCCTTCTTAATTCAGGTATCTCCATTCACAGGTCAACTACTTCTGTCCTTTAGATAGCAAGGCATTGCAGGAATTTGACAAATCATGGTGTGAGGTCACTAATGAATATGGAGGAATTGTGACAACTGAGTCTATTCCAGTGATGTTTGGAAGGTACTATTTTATTTCTTCAAGTCTATTATGATTTTGTAAAGCCTGTTTGATTAATTAGTTCATTTATACAGGTCTTTAGATGTTCCTCAAAGCTGCAATGGGGTTGCACGTTTTTCATTTGAGTATCTTTGTGGAAGACCGGTAAATTAAATTTGCGCATTGTCAATTCTCTTTGCTTTTGGAGTAGTTTATATTAAATACCAACATTTGTTATTATTGCTGTTAGGTTGGGGCTGCAGACTATATTGCATTAGCTAAAAACTACCACACAGTCTTTATTTCTGACATACCGGCAATGAGCATGCGTATCAGGGACAAGGTATGAATTGCTCTGTCTTTTCATGTGCTTTGTAGTGGGTAAAAATTGATTAATTCCATGATTTTATCAATAAATATTTAATGACTAAAAACCTCATCAGTTTAGATCAATTTGAATATCCCAAAACTTAACAAGGATCTTCCCCAAGTAAATCTCTATCTTAGCTGTGGCGGCTTCACTTGTGCTCTATAATCATGACATTAAATACCAGCTAAAAGGTTATGTATTGGCCTATACATATCAGTTATGCATTTTAAATTATTACTTCCATACTTCTTTACCATTTTTTAGATTATTGACTTAGCAAGTATATCGTGCTGGACTATTGATATGGACGTAGACACTTGACAAACTATTTTGGACAAACATACAAATTTCTTGAAATTTAGTTTGACACCTGGAGACATACAGATATCCAACACTAGTGGTCAAGCCTGATTTCCCGAGACATAGCTTAGTAATTGTGTTAATTATCTACACTTGCTCAATGAAATTTTTGTTATGTATACTAATTAGTTATGTCCAAACGTAATGCATTAACCTCTAGGAAACTGTTTCATGTTTGAGCAGTATATTTAATGCTTTGGATGTGTTAAATGTTATTGATTTCAGGCACGGAGATTTATTACTCTCATAGATGAACTATACAACCATCACTGTCGTCTATTTTGTTCTGCTGCTTGTTCCATTGATGACCTTTTCCAAGGAACCGAAGAAGGAACTCTTTTCGATTTGGAAAGGCAAGTGCTAGTTTCTTCATGCCTATCTTTGCTTTATGAATTGTCTTGGGCAAATATTAAGTTAAGGTGTTAAATTTATTGATCTGTCTCCTCTTGACTCAGATATTGTGTGCTAAATTTTAGTAGTTAGAAATATCAGTGCAATTATATGGCAGTGTGTTACAGGTTTCAATATAGGGTGTTGAACTGTTGATACTACTGATGGGAATTACTGTTGGCCATAACATCCAATCTTCTAGTAAATGTATTTCTAAGCTTACTTGTAATGCTGTTTTGTGTAGCTTTGCTTCGCCCTTCCTTAAACATAAGCTGGCCACAACCGAGATCCATGCTATATGATCCTAAGTGGCTTGGTATGCCCCATGTCCATCATTGATTTTATATGAATGGTGTTTGAGTTTATAATTTTGATCTGAATGTCACGTGATGATTGACCACTATAGAAATCAAACTACAAAACTTCATAACAACCTTAACATGGGTGTAGCTTTTGGCTTATCTTTATATGCTGTCTTCAGGTCCTCTGTAAGCCTAAGTTGTTAAGCTCATTGACAGATGACTAGTTGTGTTGGACTACATATATCATAAATTATACGAAGTACATAACTAATTTTCATGTTTTATTGTTTTAGTGCTGTAAGTAACTTGGTTAATGTTAAGGGAAATTGAGAACATTTGTGCCATGGAACTTGTGAAGAATTCTCTTGTAAAGCATTTTTAGAAAAGATGAACACTGACAGAATATGGTTTGTTTTTCCAGTTTTCAGTTCGAAACAGAGATGGAAGGTTCAAAACTTCGCAGGGATGTCTTAACAGAAGGCAGTATGGGTTCTGGTGGTTCCCCAAGTGGCATTATATCCATATTATCTGCACAAGAAGAAATGTTTGCCTTCCATAGAGCTGTAAGTGGTTAGTTTTTATGCAAATCGTACATAGAGAATCCTCTTTGATTTTGCAAAATTGTAAGGATAAAATATCTTCAGTAAATATCGAGGCCAAGTCCTTCCTGACAAAACTAGCGTGGTGGATTCTTGTATCCCTGTAAAAGAACCCCTTCTTCCCCCCATTGCCCTCCCCCCCCCCCCCCCTCCTCCTTATGGGCACCTTTTTCAAAATTTGAGTTTGCTATTTGCACATTAAGGCTAATGTTCTTACTGGAGTATCTCGCTGTTATAGTTGCATAAATTGTTTTTCCAAACGTCTCTGACTCAATACTTCCTGTTTTAATTGGAAGTTTTCTTGTATTCCTGTCAATGGGAAATTTAGAATTTGTTACTGTTAATTAATGCTTGAAGTATCTGTGCTTAACCCGATGCTTTCCTTGCAGATCTCCCGCTTGATAGAAATGCAGACCCCTTTGTATCTGGAAGGAGTTCGTGGTTTGCATCCATACTTCCAGAGACAACCCATTCATCATGAGAACAATCATACAAGAACATTGCAATCTCAAACATCCATTTGACCTTTTTTACCTTAAAATTTTACCTGATCACCTGTTTTTTCCTTGTATCTGTTTATTCTTTGACTTGGGTGTATACATCCTCCTAAAGTTTATCCATTGTTTTACTATATGCTATGAGCTAATGGTTTCTGTTATAATAAAGTTATGGAGTATGAAATTGTACTCTTACAATTCTAGATCTATATATATGCACACGATGTTTGCATGAAACTGATATATTTTAATTGAGTTTGCATGAAACTAAGACATTTTAGATTGTATATAAAAAAATAATAGGGATGTTTGCATGAAACTAAGACATTTTACATTTTTACATCAAGAATTGGGGAAGGAGCAAAAGAGCAAATAACATCCGCTTGTTGGTATACATTAACTCGAGCTTACAAAGACATAAATAGTCTTTTTGAAAGCATGTAAAACAAGTAGGAAAAAAAAGGTTTAAGAACACAAGTTAGTGACTCGATACCCTAACCGGGGGTACCTTTGGCCTCCCCTTTAGGAAAGAGATCATTATCATACTAAAAATCCCCCAAAAGAAATTTATGGGAGCCCTATGTTAGAGAGTAGGGTTGAAATAAAGAATTTTCAAAGTCATGGATTGAAAATCCATTATTGAGCTGAACCGGAGATTACTAAGCGATAACCTACCTACTTTGTTGACCGAACAAATCAAAAGGAGTAACAAAACAAAACACACTAGCCAAGCCAAGACCAAACTTAAGTACCAAAATTGAACCACTTTCAAGGCCCATCCTCAAGATTACCGAAACCAAAGACCAACCACCGAAACCCAAAGGCCAAACCACCAACACAAGCTTAAACATAAATAAACCAATTGAAAACAACGATGACATCTTCTCGACTAAGAATCCAAAACATAAGGCCCATCCTAACATTGTTACCTCATGAAGTCATGAAATATGCTTTGAATTAAAACTACGGCTGTTTCACCAAATGCCATTGAGTAATTTCGAAATTCACCAAATGCCATCGAACTTTTCCAAATTCATCACATGCCACCGAGTTTTAAAAAAATTCACCGAGTGCCATTAATGACTGATAGTCGTTAGTTGACCGTTAGTGGACCCCACCATTTGCCACGTGTCACTTTATGATTGGTCCGTTTTAAAAAAATTAAAAAAAAAACCAAAAAAATTTTAAAATTAAAAAAAAAAACAAAAACCTTGAACCACCCCAGCCACCTCCACGAAACCCTGCTCCTCCCCTTATATTGCCGGAAAACGGTCGGCCACCTTCGTAACCAACAAAAATCGGTCGGCCGACCCTTTAGCACCTCACCTGATCCACCGCCGACCCCCAAAACCACCCACACAGCCAGCCTCGACCCCAAAAACCGCCGCCGAGATCTCCACCAATCTCGCACCATTCGCATCAATGGCCACAAACTCCTCCACCAATCTTGCACCAATCACGAAGTTGTTGGGGAAGGGGATGGGTTTTGGGTTGCCGGAAATCGGAGAGGGAAAAGAAGGAGGGTGGGGTTTTGGGGTGGTGGAGGAAGGGGGGGTGGGGTTTTGCGGGTTAAGGGGTTGCGACGGGGTAAGGGAGGGGTCGCCGGAGGCCAGCGCGCCTTCCGGTGCTAGCCCTGGCGGCAGGGGTGGTGGTGGCTAGGGTTTTGGGGTGGGTAGTCAGGGAGGAGGTGATGGTGGCTAGGGTTTTGGGGTGGGCAGTCACGGAGGAGGTGGTGGCTGCCACCTCTTAATTTCTTTTTTTTTTTTTTTGTAATTTTTATTTTTTTTAATTTTTTTTTTACTATTTTTAAAAGTTTTTAATTTTTATTTTTGTTATTTTTTTTAAAATATATATATATATTTTAAAACGGACCAATCAGAAGGTGACACGTGGCAAATGGTGGGTTCTAACTAACGGTCAACTAACGGACATTGACGATCAACTAATGGAAATGGCATTTGGTGAATTTTGTTAAAACTCGGTGGCATTTAGTGAATTTGGAAAAGTTCGATGGCATTTGGTGAATTTCGAAATTACTCAGTGACATTTGGTGAAATAGCCGTTAAAACTAAGTATCTATTACACTATTTCTCCTCAAAACCTAATGTAAACTTCATATATGAAATATGATACATAACGGCATGACACTTTCATTTATTCCATAAGTATTCCAACATGACTTTGACGTACTACTAATATGCACGTAGTAATTTATAATATTATTAAAAAATATACTACCTCGGTTTCACATTCTGTGTTATAACTGGGTATTTTTTGTGCTATATAACAAAAAATTAACTGTTGCACATAATGTGAAACGTAGGTAGTAAAAAAAATAATATTATGAAATTTCACATTAATTCCTATTTAAAATTATTTTACATAGTAATTTGTTATTATTTAATTAGTAAATAATATAAGTTAAATTTAATACTTTGTATGGATCGTGAAAAAATTCAAAACTCTGTCATTGTATGATGTATAACCTAGTGCGAAGTATGAAGTGAATCTCAAACATTAGCACACATATAGGTGTCAAAACCGACCTGACACGAAATAAATCATCTGTTTTTAATTATAACCGACCTGATTTGATCTGAAAAATTCAAGACCCAAACCGATTTGTAACCGGCTTGAACTCTACCCACATCCGAATTTGACCCTATCTGAACCTAACTCGACACCAATTGACCCAACATGAACTCAACTCGAAACCAATTTGACCTGACTTGAACTCAAGCCAAACCAATTTGACCTAACGTGAACTCAACCCGGCTTGAAATTGACCTACATATATTTGATTGAATCTGATCTGTGTTTGACCCAAATTGATATTAACCCAACCTGAGTTCAATCCAATCTGATTTTAACCTGATATGATTTCAAATCAAACATAATATTAAACACAACCTATTATATATTGACCCTCCTTTTCTCTACTAAAACATAATTATTTCAATTCATGTAATTGTTTGTTTCATTAATCACTAAGAACTGTCTTTTGGAAGGGTGAGCTGTGAACATAACAATTTTTGATTAGTAATGCAGTAAAATAAAATATGTATTCTTTAATTTAATAAATTTGAATTTTTTTTATATTTTCTTTTTTTTTTTTTTTTTTTTTTTAATTTTACTATACTCAAGTTCAATTTAATCAATTATGTGGCTATCATCTATTAATCTATTATTAGTTCATTACTTATCGTCTCACATATAGTATATGATATATCATCGATAATTTGATTTTAAATTTGGCTTATAGATAAAATTGACACAAGTACTAGTCTAATGGGACAACTAATGTTAATAATTCACAATATGAAAAATGACAAGGTAATAACTTTATAATTTCTCTAGATTAAAAATGACCTTATTTCAATATTGAATTTGGTCAACTTGATCCAAATTCAACCAAATCCGAAAAAAAATCTGAATTGGAATTGACCCTAACTGAATCAACCAAAGCCTAGTTAAATTGAATTGAACTTTGCTTTAAAAATAAATAAATAAATAAATAAATAAATTTGAACTGAATCAAATCAAAATCATCCCGACCCAAAGTCATCCGACCCCAAATTAACTCGTTTAAAACCTAATAAAAATTTATTCAAACGGAATATGAACCGATCTAAAGTTGACTTGATCCAAATCCGACCCTTGCTCGACATATCTTGACCCGATCCAGAATTGATCCAATCCAAACCGAGGCGGGTTGAATTGTTAAAAGGATAACCTAGACCCAAACATGTTCGAGATCCGTCAAGGGTCAATTCAAACTCTATCCGGTTACCCAAATCGACACCCCTAAGGCACTAATACACAAATATAGAGCTAAGTAAGTTTGGTGAAGACTTTGACTAGTCTGAAATTCTAAAACACTCGTGAGTCGTTAAACAATACGGAAGTGTCGTACTTGTACCAATATAAGTCATCAATGTACACATGTAGAATCTTGACGATGAATGACGCTTGCACGAGTTATCTCACTCACTGACTCACTCCAATTTTCGTCTTCGTTGTGACTCTAATTGAATATATTTGTCAAATATTGAGTAGATTAAGAATCTTATTTGATGTTACGCAATATAATTAAAGTAATAAACCTAAGTTTTCTATATAAATTGTATAAATATAAAATTGCACCACCACTCCACCAGACAACCTAAATCAAATCCCTCCCTCTTTCTCTCTCCTCTTTCTCTCTCTTTGAGTGGGTAAGTAGGCGGGTGTAGATTTATTTTAGTTTTTATTCAATCAAAAATGTCATAAATTAAAAATATATTTGCATACCTTTTTGAAAATCATTGAAATTTACTCTTTATTCCCTCTTTTTCCTGTATTTTTGCATAAAGATACGATTTTTAAACATACCCAATTGCCAGAAATCGATTAATTGGTTTGCAGAACCTCCATTGTTTCTAATTGCATGTGAATTTCATCTTCTGGGCAATTCAAAAACCCTAGCAAAATTTAATTTTTGAAATTGGGGAAATTTGAATTAAAAACCTTATTTTTTTGATAAAATTATATTCATGGGTTGGGATAGATTGCAAATTTGTAATGGGAATGAAAAGGGGTTTTTGAGCAATTGCAATTTAGGGCTTCAATGGAGTATCCCAGAAGAGAGTTCTCACCAACCCTTAAAAAGGGGAGTGTTTGCAAATGTAGGGCAGGTGGGATATGGTGGTGGGGTACCACCAAACCCCACAAATCCTAAGGACAATGAAGGTGGTTTTAAGGTACCATTGATGGATTTGTATGTAAAGTATGTATCTTCTCCTGAAGGGTTCAAAATTGTTGGGATACCTGAGGGTGTTGAGGAAGGGGAGAAGGCTAAGAAGAAGAAAAATGGGTTGAAGTTGAAAATTAAGGTTGCTAATCCCTCATTAAGGAGGTTGATTAGTGGAGCGATTGCCGGGGCGGTTTCGAGGACGGCTGTGGCACCATTGGAGACTATTAGGACTCATTTGATGGTTGGGAGTAGTGGACATTCTACTACTGAAGTGTTTCAGGAAATTATGAAGAGTGATGGATGGACTGGATTGTTTAGGGGGAATTTGATTAATGTTATTAGGGTGGCTCCTAGTAAGGCTATTGAGGTATTTTTCTCTATTAAATTGTTTTAATGTGTTTTGTGATTTCAATTGTGCTTGCTTTTATTGATTTTTGGCCTAGCTGAATTGATAATGTTGTTTGTTTGCCTTATACTCTTATTTGGTGCATGTGTATATTATCTGAGTAATCTTGATTCATTGTTTGATTTGCTACTATGAATTATATTCTATAAATGAATATGAGTCATAGGTCATGTAACTATTAATGAATGTTTAGCCTATGTTAGCTAGTTTAATTTTTTAACTATACTTGAATGCTATGAGTATTCTTCTATTGCCATCAGTATGATTCTTGTTTCGGTGTATATTTTGAGCATGATTGATTTATATTGTTTTTAAGTGCTAAAATGGAACCAATTACGTACACAATGGTAACAAAATTGATACCTTCCTCAACCCCCAAGTTGATTCTGGGGTTTCCTTTCCTAAGTTGTACCAAACAACTAACAAAGTAACATTTAACGATACCCTTTCTTTTTATATGTTTCAATTCCATTACCTTTCCTAAATTCATACTAAGCATGCACTTTGTACTAATTCATTACATACCTGTGAGGATGAATTGGGGTAGTTGTCGTGTGAGAGTAAACTTTGCTGCTACCTTATGCTGTTTGATCATATTTGCTGATATTTCATCAGACTGTAGAACTGAGTAAAATATATTCATTGACATCTACCCCCTTGTTATGATTGTAGTTGAAATTTATCAAGATTAAGTATTGAACAAATGATAACTAATTGCTAATCAATGACAGATACTTTCTATAGTTGTGATTGATGATCGTTTTTGTTTTATTGCCTCCTTCTTCAGTGAAGTGATTTTATGATGCTGCTTGAGATTCTCAGCTTTCTCATAAATTATCCTGTTCTTTGTGATCAAAGGATGATTAGAGTCCAGGATGTTAAAAAGTTTTTGTGTGAACCCCCTTTTTAAAGCTGTTTGCTTGCTCTAAGCATTTGACATGGGGAGAGAGGGGTACTCTATGCTTTTATTATGTTAAGTAATCATGTATATGTCCAACTCACAACACAAAACTTCTTTATATCGTACTATGATGCACATGTGCACTTATTCTCTGTTTTTCAAAAGCTCTTCTAACGTGGGTGATTTCTTAATTTTTAGTTAGTTTGAGCTCATACGAACCTTTTTTTCTATAAGCCTGTATTGATCTTTCCACACAAGGGTTCCTATAATAATCCATAGCTTGTGTATAACCACATGGATCAACATGATATTTGTAATGTGTGATGATAAAATAATTAATGCTGAAATAAGTTCGCTTACTATGAGCAGTGTCTATCTTGTGTTGTGACTTGAAAACTTATAAACATTTTGGTCATTGAAATTTAGTGGTGACGTAGTTCTATAGTTCTGATTGGGTTTTGTTTGTCATTGCTGTTAGTGAGCCTAATACCAGACGAGCTTCTTTATGACACCGTTGCTTTTAGACTATCCATAATTGAATCATCCCAATATTGTAATTGAGAATTATTCTGATTGACAGTAGTCGATATTTTTCTACTTTTTTGTGGGATTCGTGTGGTGCTAGGGTTGATGGGTATTTTGGCTTGTTTTGAACAGTGCTGGTTAAGAGTGTTGAGCTTATGCTACGGGGATTTTCTGTTTCTTTCCAAATCAATTAAATAAGTTTCATGAACATAACGTTAATTCTTGTTTTTCTGTATAGCTCCTTACATACGACACGGTCAATAAGTACTTGTCAGCAAAGCAAGGAGAACAAGCTAAAGTCCCTATCCCACCTTCTCTCATTGCCGGGGCCTGTGCTGGGGTCTCCTCTACTATATTGACATACCCTCTTGAGTTGGTGAAGACCCGCTTAACCATACAGGTGCTTCCATTTTCTTACCACTATTGTTCTTCCAGATTATTATACACCCACGATTGATAACATGATTTGTATCATCTTTTGAGCAAAATTTACAGAGGGGTGTCTACAATGGTATAATTGACGCTTTTGTGAAGATCATACGTGAGGAAGGTGCCTCTGAGTTATACAGAGGCCTTGCCCCAAGCTTAATTGGAGTGATTCCATACGCTGCAACCAACTATTGTGCTTATGACACGCTGCGGAAAGCATATCGCAGAGTCTTCAAGCAAGAGAAGATTGGCAATATAGAAACCCTACTGATTGGCTCTTTGGCAGGTGCCATTTCCAGTACGGCGACTTTCCCTCTTGAGGTGGCCAGGAAGCATATGCAAGCAGGGGCTGTGAGTGGAAAGGCATACAATAACGTGTTGCATGCGTTGGCTATTATCCTCGAACAGGAAGGGGTACAAGGTCTTTATAGAGGTCTCGGCCCTAGTTGTGTGAAATTGATGCCAGCTGCTGGGATTTCTTTTATGTGCTACGAAGCGTGCAAGAGGATACTGGTGGAAGACGAAGATGAGGCATAGGAGAGTTTACCTACGGAATTTATTGACACATAAAGCTTTGCAGCGACTTACCTTCTGCAACTTTTGTCACAAGGCCTTTGTTTCGGGCAACTCAAATGGCCACTCGATAGGAGCTTATACTTTTTCTAGAGATATCACAGTTCCCCCCCCCCCCCTCTCTCTTTTGTTATCTTTTTCTATTATGATTGAAGTGGAATAATATGCTGAAGGTTTAATCTTGTGGTTTACTTAGTGAAATTTTGAGTAGTTACATAATTGGCAATTTAGGCTCCTGCATTAAAATGTGTAATGGTGACTTGCATCGCTCAAAATTCATTTTGCCACGATGTACATAACAGTGTCATTAAAAGCTCCCCCTAATTGTATCCCAAACAATACCACGATGACTTAAATTTTCGCTTTTTCTGGGCAAGTTCATGTTTTATAACGTCACATTGGGTTTTAAGAGTAAGCCATTTGGTAGAAGCCAACACCAACACAAAAACAACCCTCCCTCTTTCTTTTGGCGAGGGATACTGAGCCAATTTGCAAATTGTATTATACAACTAACGAGCTTGCCATGTGATAATATGAACCAAAAAAAAAATGTAGCATTATGTATAGTGAGCAGCTGAGCGCAGCAATCAATCAATATTCCTATAAGCCCATAAAGAATTGATCACAATTTGCAATGTAAGAAACCAGAAATAGAACTGTTTGTTGTTACAAAATTGATAGGGAAAGCCTTTGTAGCTTAATCCGTTAGTACAATTTACTTTATAGAAAAGACAACCCTTGAGTCCCTTACAAACCAGTGGCAAACAGAAAAATAGAGACTGAAATGACTGATAGAGCACTACAGTTTGGATATCCTATGCCTGCTCCTCTTCTTCGGCAGCCTCAGCTGCAGCAGCAGCCATCAACTCATCGAATTTCTCTGACTTCTCGAGCACAATTTCAATCTAAAGAAGAAATTAAATCAGAATTAAAACTCTAAGCCTACATTCAAAATTAATACTTTGTGTAAATTTCCTAACATGTTTTTGCTTAGTAAAATGATGCCTTTTTCTTACGAGTAATTAAACATGCAAGGACCATGTGGCAACTAATTCTAGACAACTAGAGTACTAGTGTTAACTCACTAAGACAACTCCCTTATCTGGTTCCATTCATGTTGGTCGGTAGAGAAAAAGGAACAAATGCCCACAATCCACAATAAATAAAATGCAGCTACCGAATTGTGTAAAGCCAGATACCTTAGCTTTCTCGATAGGTCGCCCCCCTGATTCATTGATGTCAACTGTTGAAGTAGCTATTTCTATCAAAAGAAATAAAAAATAGAGCATTAACATCCAAAGGCTCCAAAAAACAACCGCAACTTAGAAAAAAAAGTAAGAGAAATGAAAGACAAAGAAAAACTAACTCTTCTCAACAGCAAATCCATTGTTCTTCAAAATTTCAGCGATTGTGACAACTGTTGCAATGGCTGCAGACATTACCAGCAAATAAATGTTAGAAATAGATAATTAGAGGGAAAAAAAAATTTAGGTACAAAGGTTTGATAGAGAAGTAGCCAACAAAGTTACTATATAACTTTATAAGCAACAAATGAACAACACCAAGTAGGCAAGTACCAACAAGGAGTTAATCAGGGTTCAACATTATAATAAAGTTGATGCACTAAGCAACCTAAGCCAAAGAAAATAAAAAAACTTGCAGACAATTTTATGCTGACATATACAGTATAAATTTCAATTAACTTGAGATGCATTATAATAACAATATCTGACTCCAGCGATGCCAGGTTAAAAGCAAACTACCAAGTACCAAGTGCTTCAAGAAATCTGAGCAATCCTAAATCCCATTTTTCTGCAGGCAATTTTTTCTTTGTACTTCTAAAACACGGGAAAATCAAGACACAAGTGTTCAACATATTAAAGAGCCTTTGAAATCATTTAATTATACAAGCTCTAACAAGTACAGCAACTATCATCACACTCATCTTTCACCGTTCACCAACACAACCCTTTCCCAAAAGGCAAACCAAAAACTTAAAACTATGGAAAACACCAATAAGAGTTTGTAAATGGAAGTGGAATTTTATATCAAGAGGGGCACCATAAAAAATGAAAGCAGCCACGCACATCTGTAATTTATCAAGGAAATGGAAACCAACCAAACAGAACCAGTAAATTAGGAAAGTTGACCTATTTTCATCATATCTAGTCTGGATAAACTAGGCTTAATATGGTATCTGTGCTGAAGGAAACACTATAGCTAGCTAATTTTAATCTAGCAGACAGTCCTCCATCTGGAAGCCATTAATTAAAAATGAAAAACAATAAGGCTAACACAGGTCAAAGTTTGATTTGCGAAGAAGTCCAAAACATTCCAAAGCAAAATATAGTCACTGTTATGGATCCAAGTACGGGTCAACGGATTCAAGTGTACACTCGGCGTCCAAGGCAACAAACCATGGACCAGCAACAAAGCAGAGGGCAGCAGCAACCTTTTAGCAGTAGTGCAGGCAGCAACATCACAAGATATTAAGCAACAACATTCAAGGAACAGAGCTACTTTTTGGAAGAACCCATTTTGAGCAAGACAACAAAGGAAGCAGTTATTTCACTAATTTGGAAAGAAGACCTTGGGCTCTCCTTTTATTACTTTTGTTTTATTTCTTTTGGGAAGGTATGAGAAATTGAAGGGTAGTACTTAATCTTAAGCTAGGGGGGCAGGGGAGGATATCCAGAAATTTGTAAGGAAACACAGAGAGTGGTGGCCTAAAGCTACTCAGAGACTCATGGCCTCAAGTCATGTTTTGTAATCTGTCCTCAGTACCATTCGCACTGATTAATCAAGCCCGGTTCAGCACAACTTTACAACATAATCAATCTCAATTACTTAGCTAATTAGCTGAAGTTTTCATCATTACATTGTCATTGATACCTACAGGGGAAGAAGGCAACGTAGAAGTCGCTGGGCTTGGTCAGTAGGGTCAGTCCCTGCTAGTCACCAAAGAATGCCTGATAATACATGCAAAGAAACTTGAATGGCTATAATCAATGAGACATACGGGAGATTTGCAGGCTTTGGTCAAATCTCAAACTCATAGAGATGATTTTGTTGACATTTTTATAATGGTTGTCCCAAATCATTGGCTTGAACAGACTACTTGAGGAGATTCAAACCAGACCAAAAAGGAAAGATTCAGACCAAATCTTAAAAAATTCTACTCGTAACACCTTAAATAAGAAGAGAACATAACCTTAATAAATGCATAACCATCTAAACAGCTTTCCTTTCAACTAAATAAACAAACTATAGGTAATGCAACCATAGTTGCTACCAAGCAATATAGCTAATTAATCAGAAGATCCTTTCACAATATCCAGTTTGGATAAGCTAAACTGGCCTTGGTAGCTCAGCTGAGGGAAACCATATACTGATAAACCTGTAAGTCTAGCGACTAAACCTTCTATTTAAGTCATTTAGTACAGCTGAACAAAATTAAGGTTTACAACAGTAACATATTATTTTGCTCATCAATCCTGGGTTTCATTAAATACAAGCCACCACCATCATGAGGCTAACCAACTTTGAATCAAGACAAGCAAATAGATAGATGTTACCAAGCAACATTCTCATTGTTCTCTTCCCTTTATCCTTTCAATTTTTTCTAGGGGAGAAGTAGGGCTAGATAAGGCACCACTAGGCAACATACATTGTTTAAGATCAAATACGGAGTATAAAATTGAAGCTTAAGATTACGAAAGACCTACCCATTCCAAGAGCAGAGAGCTCCAGTTCATTGTGTTGTTGCATATACCTCTACAAAAAACATTATCAACTACATTACTTCCACTACTTAAGAAAATCAAAGCAAAGGTCAACTAACCTGACACATAGCCACATAAATCCACACCAAACAAGCTCAAATATACTATGAGCATCGAATTCACAAACACTACATAAGCAAAAACAAATTCCCTTCACTCGGATACGAAAATGCCATCCACCATTGAATACATCATCATAATTAACATAAATCATCACTACAGCCCCAAAAACTATAATAATGTTAGTGTCACATTGCAAAAACCGAATTCCAAATTAAGGCTAATCTACACACAAATAATTAATCATAGCAATAAAATCAAAATTCATCTCATACAACATTGTTCCTACAATAAATTTCCTGAGCAATTATTATAACTATACCCATTTACAATGTCGTACCAATGTTTACCCCATTTCTATAATTACATTCACCAACACTCTGGGGGGAAAAAAAAAAAAAAAGAAAAAAAAAGAGCAATAAAAGTATTCCCTTTTTTCATTGAACAATTAACAAAATTGTACTTAAAAATTAACAAAAACCCAGATAAAATTCCATCAAAAAGTCCAATAAATAGCAAAATTAACAGAAAACGTCATAAAAAAAAAACAAAAAGAAAACCCCATTAAAATTATTCTTAAGAAAATACCTTGGCAAGATTGACGTAAAAAAAGAGAGGTTTTTTGGTGTTGGAAACTTGAATACGGTTTTTCTTGTTGTTGAAATTGTTGTGGTTGTTGTTGTCATTGTTGTTGGATGAATCTGTAATGCTAAGATTGTTAACGCCCTCTGCAACTTGCTCCATTTTTAGTTTTTCTTCTTCTAGAAAACTGGTTGTTGTTGTTAAGTTGTTCAAACACCGAAAACCCTTGACTTCTTCTATTTTCTGTTTCTCTCTCCAAATTTTGGGAAGAGGATTGTGCTCGCCCACCAAGGATATCTTGAAAGTGTTTTTAACATGGGCTTCATACGGCGTCGTTTTCGCGCTAAACACTAGTTGATAGCCTTCGTATTTTTATACTTCCTCCGTGTTTAAATAAATGAAGGGGATTATTCTGTGTGGCTACACCGTGTGACTGGGGTTTCTCGAGTTATATGGTCAGGAATTACTCGGATCGAATAACTTCTCAAGTAACCCTTGACTGAATAACCCCTCGAATAACCCCTGACCGAGTAACCCTTTAAGTAACCCCTGACCGAGTAACCTTTTAAGTAACCCCTGACCGAGTAACCCCTGATCGAGCCCCTTAATTAACCCCTAACCAAGTAATTCGAGTAACTTAACCCCTAACCGAGTAACCCTTCAAGTAGCCCTTGACTTAGTAACCCTTCAAGTAACCCCTAACCGAGTAACTCGAGTAACCCCTAATCGAGTAATTCGAGTAACCCCGCATACACGGTGTTCCAAAACTTTTCTATCTTCCTTTTACATTGAATCAGCAACTTTTCTTGATAGATGAAACCAAATAAACCATGTAAGAGGTGATATTCACCTGGTTTGGTGTGAGTGTGTGACCCAACTTTTATAAGCCCATTGTTTGGTAGAGTATTTGTGCCTATTTTAAAAGTTTTCAGAAAAATCAAGCAAAGTTTTAAAGAGTCCTTGACATTGCAAGCAACAAGAAATAAATATAATTCTTGAACATTCATCTTCAACTATATATATATAGGTCATGACAATCAATCAAGAAATACACACACAAGGAACCATACTTATACATAAGTCTTATTATCTATCACCCTCCTTGTAAATTATTTACCTTCTATCTACAAATTCACTACTTTTTTTTTTCACCACTCCTTTATGAGTTTCAATAGTGAGAATTCGCTTGTACTACTCACTCTTTTAAGGGTTCTTATACTCCTCTATTTTCATAAAAGCGGGTTATTTCACATGCTCGTTGTTTTTGAGAATTTTGCATGTATTGAGGATTTATCTCACGTTAAATATTGTGTACTCATTCCTTTACTCCCTCTGTATATTTTTAATGTTATATTAAGATAAGAGGTAGATGGGTAGTAGTATTAAAAAATTGTAAAAGAAAGATAGTGGGGTTAATAATTTATTAAAAAGTAATGAATGTGATATAAAAGAAATAATAAAAAAAATGGTATTGGGTTTGAGTGAAATCATGAGATAAGAAAAATATTTTATTAAAATGTAGCTTTCCCAAAAAAAGAAGTATAACACCTAAATAAACACGGACTCATTTGATTATACGGGAGGTGATACACATACAACTGTCGTATGTGGACCACACATACAATACCAATAGAAAATTGACAACTCATCATTAGTTAAAAAAAATGAGGGGGGAAAATGAGTGGTGTTTTGGGGTTTTCTGATGTCCTGCGGGAGAGCTACAATTCCGAGACTGGAACCGGACGCCTGTACCTGCAAAATAACGGAGACTCCTGAGAGCTCCGCCTCCAACGGTCAAGTTAGTACCTGATTAAGGAGTAATTAATACAGAAATTAAAGTAATAAGGTCTCTCTAGGTGAGAGTATTTAATGTAGGTAATCTGCTTTGCTAGCGAGATCAGCCGGTTATTAGTGTGTTCCGTAATGTTTCTCCTCCGTTCCGTTAATTATTCGGTCCCTTGATTAATGAGGATTAATCGAGTATTTATAGCCTTGGGAAGCGTGCAACTCTCTAGGTTTAAGGTAAACCTAGGGCCGAACGGGCTTCTAGACTGAAATGGGCCTTGATGGCCGGTTGTCCCATTTGGCATGGGTGGACACGTGGCGTGTCTTAAGTGGTCCGTGGAGGACGCGTGGCGGAACCTGGTTGGTCCACTTGTCAAACGGCGCTTGGTGGATAAAAATCCCCTAATCATTTGCCCCTCACAGGTGGCACGCGACTGGTCACGTGTCGCCTGTGACAGGTGTCGCACGGTGACAGGCGACGGCCCGTTACAGGTGTCACCTTGCAGACGGCCGGGAGACTCTCCCGCCCAAATTTGAATTCGGAAGCGACCCTTCGCCTTCTCATTTTGCCTATAAAAGGAAGTGCTGACTTCGGTCATTTTCACATTTGAGAATTTTTGCGAGAACATTCGGACCCCTGAACTTGATCTGACATTTTCGGACTTTTTCTGCCTACCGCCTGTTCTGACAAGCCGACTGACCCGAACTTTCAGGACTTCATCAACTGTCATCCGTTCAGGTAACTCAGTTCTCTTACTCTTAATTTCCTTTTTATTTTATTTTTTTTGAAATGGCACCATGGAAGCACACGACACGCCCTAAGTTAGTGATCAGCCGGTCATTTAATCAATCGGTATTCGAACTCTTTATTCAATTTGACCAAGTAAATAGAATTACCAAGTAGCCAAGGAATTTAAGTAGGAAAACAAGCGGCGGGTACCGGTTGTTTCCCTTTATTGCCAATGTTGGCCTCTAATTTGTTATTTGTTAACCTAGCAAGAGTATTGGTTGAGAGCCTTTGTTTATTAAAAACAAGTGGACGACTCGTACCTTTTAGGCTCAGTACTAAGTTTGAGTGACTATTAAGTTAACATAGGAGTTACTTAGTCTTCGTCACAATCTTGATTGAGTAGTAAAGGTATCAGGCGGCGTAGGCCGGCTAGACCCCTTGATTCACCAATGTTTGTTGGCTATTTACTCAATAGGTTATCCAGTAGGAATAGGGGTTCGAGTGCCCTTGTTTGTATAAAACAGGCGGACGACTCAAACTTTTTAGGTTCCATACCAAATTTGAAGGAGTGACTATGAGTTAACTTTGGAGTTACTCAGTCTCCGTCACTTTTGTTTGAGAAGTAGAGGTACCAGGCGGCGTAGACCGGCTAGACCCCTTGATTCGCCAATGTTTGTTGGCTATTAACTCAATAGGTACCCCCTGCATTTATCCCAAGTAATACAGGCGGTCATCTGACTCAGATGTCAACTGCTACCACTGGTTTGGTTAGTGATAGAGTTATCCTTATCTCAAAAACGGCTACGTGGTTGCCCTTTGGGACAGTCGTATAGGTGCCGTGTAATTAGTTTATAGAACAATGTTCCACCCAAAAGGGAGCTGCTCTCTGCGACGAATTTCATCCGAATGGATGCCGCCGGACGCCTGCTATAATGTTGGGACAGGTCGGATTAGTTTTTAAAAGTTAGATCAGTTGACTAGGCGCCTGGTCTGATCATTCGGCCAGTGGCCTTGGTATGTTCTTGGTGAACGTATGTGCTAAGTAAAAGAAGGGTAGCCGCCTGTTAGTTACAGGATCGGCCAGGCCCTAAACTTTTTAGCTAAGTATTGTGAGTAAAATACTCGAGGGAGAGTAGCCGACTGTAATGGAACAGACGGCATGCCCCTGTAAAGATAAAGAATGGAGAGTAGCCGACTGTAAAGGTACAGACGGCATGCCCCTCGTAATACAAAATTGAATAGTAAGTGCCAACTTTATTAAGTAGCTCTTTATTTTACATCATTCAAAAGAAATATTTCTTAAGGTTATCTACATTCCAAGTTCGAGGCAACGGTTGTCCGTCTGGTGTTTCCAGACGGTAGGTACCGTCCCTGACTTCCGCATAGATTCGGTAGGGTCCTTCCCAGTTGGGAGTTAGTTTGCCAGACTCGTTAGCCCTACCAACTGCTTCCATTTTTCTAAGTACAAAGTCCCCTACTTTGAGTGGACGCCTGTGCACTTTTTTGTTGTATGATCTAGTCATTCTCAGGCGGTAGATTTCATGGCGCAAAACAGCATTGCCCCTCTTTTCAGGAAGTGAGTCTAATGCCAGGCGCATAGCTTCCCAGTTTGCCTCTTCGTCATATAGCATTACTCGAAGAGTCGGCTCGTAGTGTTCTATTGGAAGAACAGCTTCTGCACCATAAGTTAGGAGGAATGGAGTTTCTCCAGTCGCCCCTTTTTCAGTCGTCCTAATGGCCCAAAGAACATGTGGTAGTTCATCTGCCCATAGGCCGCCTGCTCGTTCAATTTTTTTCTTGAGACCGTCTGAGATGATTTTATTAAAGGCTTCTACCTGGCCGTTTGCTTGTGGACGGCCGACAGATGCAAAGTAATGTCCAATTCCTTGGTCTCCCAACCAGCTTTTGAGAACAGGCGTCTCAAATTGGGGACCATTATCAAAAACCATAGACATGGGAACCCCGAACCGAGTGATGACGTTTTTCCAAATGAATGAAATTACATCTTTCGTCTTGATTCCCTTTACAGCCTCCGCCTCTGCCCATTTAGTGAAGTAGTCAACGGCAACAAGTATATACCTTCTGCCGCCTGTAGCAGGCGTATATGGACCCAGAATGTCCATGCCCCACTTAGCAAACGGTAGTGGGCTGTGAATGGTAGTGAGGTCAGTAGCCGGACGGTGAATTAATTTGCCAAACCTTTGGCACTTGTCACATTTTTTCACCATCTCCATTGCCTCTGCTTCCAAAGTAGGCCAAAAGTAGCCCTGCCGCCTATATGGGAAGCACAGAAACCAGAGTGAAGATCATCTAGTATCTCTCGTCCCTTTTCAGGAGTAACACACTTTAAGAAGGGTTGAAGGTGCCCCCTCTTGTGCAGTTCCCCCTGTATCATTTCAAAACAGGAGGCTCGTTTTTTCAGTGATGCCGCCTGTTGAGGATCATCCGGCAGTGTACCGTTTGTCAGATATGCCCTGATTGAATCCATCCAGGTTGAGCTTCTGTCTAGAATTCCAATAGGATTTTCCTCGATGCTTCTCTTCTCCATTACTTCCCAAAACACAGTTCGAGGAGTATCGGAGGAGGCGGATGATGCTAATTTCGAGAGTGCATCTGCCTGGTTGTTTTCTGATCTCGGTACTTGGATCAGATGGAAATCCTCAAGGGAGCCGACTGCTTGTCGGACCGCCTGTAAATATTTGATCATGGCCGGATGTGTTGCTTCGTATTCGCCATTGTACTGACTCACTATCAGTTGTGAATCAGAACAGGCGTCTATTTTCCTTGCC